TATGTCCAATCTGTTCACCCTAATACTCATAGAGGAATCAGTATGTTGGAAACAAAAATATACTACCTCCGTCCCACTATCTTTGTCCACTTTTGACTTTTGGAACTGTTCATCTAAGCACTTTGACTCATCAAATTCTCTCAATGTGTAAGCCTAAATATAGTCATGTGTGATCTTGTTTGATTTGTCTTAACATATAGATTATTAATATATAATTTCTATAATTTTTTAATATACAAATTACAAGATAAAATGGATTAAAGAAGTGCATTGGATGGTGTGTCAAAAGGTAAGTGGACAAAGACAGTGGGACGGAGGGAGTACTTCCTAAAAAATAGGAAAGTTGAAAACCAAAATAGGACTTTCATGTTTTTATACCCGAAATAAGATTTACATTACCAAACATGGTCATGTACATTACCAAAGAAATATAGTAATGTGCACATATACAGTGCCACATTACCATAGTGCAAAGTTCTATTTCAAAAACAAACATGAAAGTCTTATTTTGGTACTTTTCTTTTTGTTTTAGTCCTATTTAGGGAGATTTCTAATACATATTGTGAACTTGTACGTTTTGTATCTTAGTTGACAATCAAGGGATTCAAGGAACAATTTTAATACTCTAGTGATTTTTTATAACAATATCTGTTATTAAAATATTTGTTTTAAATTTTTAATATGGAGTATATTTAATTTTTTTCAGACAATTTAAGTAATTAATCAGCACAAAATATACCAGAATTAAGCTATTTGTACACATAAAATTGTACCCTACTTTATACTCCGAAGGTATACACCAATATTTTATGTTAGTGGAATGCTAGTGTGACGGTTTACACTAACACAAAATGTTAGTGCATTTTTTTATTGAACTAGCATTTTGTACCTATGTGAACCATTAAAATGTCGGTGCATCCCTTTGGGGCATAACTTGAATACATTTTTGGTCAAGAAAAAATTAATAAAAAATGTGTATATTTTGTGACTTTTATATTTGTTACTCTAGCATTTCTCAAGTACGCAATACATAATCGGGACAACTCAAGGAATAAGGACAACTCAATGAATAAGGTGAAGATTCTATTTTGCAATTACTCTTCCCTTTTATATGCACGATATTAAACATGATTATTTTCTCCGACAGGTATTTCTTTAATTTATTGGAACTAATACCAGGAAAATTATATGCACAAACTTTTTTTTTACAAATACTCATTCTGTCCCAAATTAATTTACTAATCACAAAGTCAAATTTTTTTACTTTCTTTTCCTACTTTTATTAGTTATTTGATAACATAATATAATCATGTCACTCCTAGTTTTATGAATCTATCTTTTGATTTTGTTTTGAAATATGTAATTGTTATTTTTTAACCCTACATCGTTTTTCATATAAAATAAGTTAAAAATAAGTTCAGTCAAACATCGTAAAGCGAAACAGGTAATTTAAAGTTGGAGTACTACACAAATAATGGACGTGAGAGTTAATCAGAAAAATAAAACAAAAAAATTATAGTCCTCTCACACAGTTGTAGAAAAACCATATAATAATATATGTTCTCTTCGTCTAAATTTTTTTTACCAGTTCGACATTATTGGTCAAACTTAAAAAAATCTGACCACAAATTACGGACACAAAACATCGAATTATTAGAAATCAATCTAAATAGGACTAAAACATAGAGAAAAGTACCAAAATAGAGTTTTCATGTTTTTTTCTCGAAATAAGACCTTGCACTGTGGTAATGTAATTTTGCACTGTGGTAATGTGGCAGTGTACATGTGCACATTGCTATACTTATTTGGTAATGTATATGACCATGTTTGGTAATGTAAGTCCTATTTCGGAAACAAAAACATATAAGTCCTATTTTGGTATATTTTCAATGTTTTAGTCTTACTAGACCTGCCAAAACAGAACCGGAACCGATTACCTGAACCGAAATACCCGAAACCGAAACCGGAATGACCCGAAAAATGAAGATCCGATCTATAACTGAAAATCCGAAATGATCCGAATCGAACCGAAACCGAACTAAATAATTCATATCCGATTTAAATACGAAACCGATTAGATCTGAAACTGATAATATCCGAACCGATTAAACCCGAAACCGATTAGATCCTGTTGACCCTTGTGTTTTGATAATGACAACCATGCATATGGGATGAGCTTTGAATTTGGATCTTTTCATGTGGATTGCCTAGCGCGTTGCTTAGAGATTCAAGACAAGATTTGAAGATTAAAGGTTTTCTAGATTTTTATTTCTTTTGAGTCTTAGTTCATGTTAAAGTGTTTGGCACATCTTTATTCTTCAAATACTTTGTCTTTCCTACAAAAATTTCTCTTTGATTGCTTTCAAAACTCTTTCTCAAAACTTTTCTTCAAAAATGTTTCTTCCCAGTTTTTTATTCGAATAAATTGAGATTTATTCGAATAAGGGACTTCTGCAGATTGCAGTTCAGTCTGTTTTAATCGAACAAATGTTTGTTTTATTTGAATAAGGGCTGATTCCAGTTTTTCCAAAGTTTTGAAAACTATTCGAATAAATGACTATTTATTCGAATAAGTAGGCTCCCATTTTTGCAGTTCGCTCTGTTTTATTCAAATAAATCCAGTATTTATTCGAATAAGCCCTGTGTCTTGGAAAATCCTGTTTTACTCAAACTATTCGAATAAATTATGTTTTATTCGAATAAATCGACAGTTTTCACAACTAACGGTCAATTTTTTAAATTCCCGTGGAGGTTTCTTCGACCCTATCCATATATACTCTATCGTTGTCTCCTCGCTTTCATTGTTTCCGTTAATCTTTTATTTTTATTCCTGCACTTTTTCTTCTTTAAACGAAAAATTTTATTATTTTCGTGAACACCTAGAGGTGTGAAAGGCGTCTAACATATCCGAACCCAATAATACCCGAAACCGATAAATCCGAAACCGATTAGATCTGAAATCGATAATATCCGAACCCGATTAGAACTAAAATCGATAAATTCAGAACTATGTTTGCCTTTCAATAAGCATATTATATTTTTAAATTTTTACTTTTATTTTACCATTTGAACTATTTACATTACTTGCTCATTCGCTCATAAATTAAAATGGATTGTCTTCTTGAAAAAAAGTACAAAATTTTATGCCTTAAATTTATTATATGTAGAAATTAAAGATAAGTTATACATATAAATGATAACGCACAAACAAATAAAATTTCTTTAATTTTTAAATAGTGAAGTGTGATATTCTTTTTGGGACGAAAGGAATATATGATGAATTATATGGAATAACTAGATTTTATCCTAATTTCATCTCATTACAATAAATTATATTGATTTGAGAGTTAATTTGACTAGTTTCAAACCAATTCATTCAATATTAGTCAATAAAATTAGATGCTAGTGTTAGCATTTTGAAAAGACTCTCTAGCGGCAGCCTTTACTGTTATCATTTTCAAATTTGATCTGCACCATTACATTTAGGTGTAAAATTAATTATATTTGACTCTATTAAATTTAATTTTCTCTATTTTCAACCAAATATACTCAAAAATTTACAAATTTTGCACTCAATTGAATAAAATTCACTTAATTTCACCCAATTTTACTCAATTTTTACCAAACTGTATTCAAATGGAACATAAGAGTATTTGAATTTATCTTTTATCTTTTCATTTATATACATGAGTATATTAGTATATGTGAGAAAATTTTATATTTCAAAACTAAATTTTAAAATCAATTTAATTATATTAAATTTAAATATATATCTTTTCATAATTTGTAGTCCAAATTTGTAAAATATGACTAAAAAGTCAAAAAGGGAAGATTATTTAGGGTATAGATAATATAACTAGAAAAAAATATAAAATAATATGAGGTATTGAATTGATGATAGATTGATAAATGTGATAAAACATAAAAAGAAACACGGATAGTTAAATTTTAATTAGAAAATAATATATATCCAAAATATATTTGATCCGAAACCGAAATATATCCGAA